TGCTGATAATTCTCATCTGAAGTTTTTCTTCTGTCTCTATGCAGCTGATCCAAATTTCTACAGCAAAAATTTGCTCTATTTGGGGAAAACATACTTGAAGTTAAACAATAAGAAAATGGCTCTTCTGTGGTTAAGCAAAGCAAAGGAGTATCCTGCACAGACAGAGGAGGACAAACAGGTGGGAAGTTAAGAACTGTGATCATACAATCATATATTGTATCCAATATGTATGACATCATGGCAGTGGAATGTCTTATAAAAGTAACTCAGGGCAACTTATAGTTCAGCACCTTTAACTCAGAATCACATCAGCACTAAAAAAATTCTATTATGTTACTAGCCACCTCTGGAAACTGTGGTTGGAAATACTCTGTTTTATTCATAGCAGGGAACTCTTTCTTCTTCATGGTAGTTCCATAGTGCCAACAACAACCCAGCCTTAGCTGTGTTACTGAAGGTCACACAGGCACCTCACTAGCCTGTTTCTGTGTGAACACAGAATCACCTTTCATGTGCCTGAAATGGGTAAGGTAGGAATTACATTGTGGAATAGTTCACAGTCATGGGAACACAAGGAAGAAAAAACCCAGATGTAACAAAACTTTAACATTGCAGTCCTTTGCAGGCCCCTAGGGAGAGATTCAGATGATTTGAGTAACACAAATGAAGGTAATGTATCTTTGACAGCAGATCTCCAGTGCTAGATGTCATGAGTCACTTAATTACCCTTTGAAACTCTGCAGAAGGATTCTGGTTGGGAGGGTAGGCATCTGCTTCCTACCTAAACATTCAAAGAACTTCCAAGAGAGGTAATCCATTGGACTTGTTCATACCTGATAATGCATTCAGTATAAACCAATGCAATTGCAGTTACCTTTCAGAAACAAACCTATTAGCATCTCAACTAACAAAGCCTCAATTTGCATTTGATTTTTTTATGGCTGATTGACCTCTATTTCATTTAGCATTAAAGCTGCAGTTGAGATGCAGCACTCTGAATGTCCAACATAAGAAATACTTTGGTAGGATTTTGCATTTCACACCTCAGAAAAAAACACTACCGAGACAGTGTTTCAGAATCTCTCTGTACACTTGCTAGTAAGCCTAAAACTGTTTCTTCCAAAACTGAGTTCCTTTAGTAACATCTTTCAGTCGAAAAACAAGTCTTGCATTCCTCCAGTGCCTTGCACAATGTTTAGGAATTTAATAGCCTAGAGGAGTAGTTGTCTCAGGTGTGTAAGGAATTGGTCAGTTCTTCTGACAGGTACTAGTAGCCAGAGACACACATGAAACCAGGAACCATTCAAAAAGTATAGTCAGGAGTGAATTTTGTGCAGTGGCCAAGTTGTTAAACCACTGAACTGCTTCAGCTACTTGTGGCCTCCTGGTACTGACATCTATTTCTTAATCTCTTAGAGGAGTGCAGAGCTGCTGAACTGAGAAAGGCAGCATTCTCTCCATTCTCTGGGTGTTAAATGCAAAATTCATTGGGAACTAGACTTGGTAGCCTACTATGAAGGGAACTGGCCTGTGCAAAGACATTTGAATCTTGTCTCAGCATAACTAGGTTTTCTGAACATTTGTTATCCCAGATACTCAGAGGTTTTCTGGCTTACACTGTCTGCATGGCTTGCTATGTCATTACCATTGTTGGGATGGAGTTTTTTTGTGGCTTGAGAAGGGAGGAGAGGGCGTTGAGATTTTTTTGCTTTTTGCTTCAGTTTGTTGTTGGGGAGTGTTTTAATATGAATGTTAGAGACCATATTAAAATTTTACTAGGTTTTAGCCAGAAACCTTAGGCAAACAGAGCCTCAGAAATGGTCTCACTTCTTAGTTGCTGTCTGAAGTGTTGAAATCCCTAGGCTGGTTTGGTATGGTCAGAGGTAGGACAGTTTCCTGCATGCTCCTATTGGACTGCAGCAAATCAAGAACTAGTGTCTGTATTCAACACAAATAAACTTCATTTATGTAGTAAGTGAATGACACTGAAGACACTGGCTTAAGTGATTTAGTCTGATTCATATTTCAAGTACTGAGCATCTTAAACTACGGAAGAAAAGTGACTCGTCCTAGGACTGTCACAGCTGCAGGTAAACATTTGGGTGCTTCTGGGGGAAGTTTTGCTAGAAGAGACTGTAACTATCTGGGACTGTTATGTTACATTTATTTCTTTCAGGTACAGAAAGAAGCTTTGGAGCTGCTTAATTCTATATAAGAAGAAACAAGATAATGGGAAGTAAGTGCCTCAGGTTTGAGCAGCATAGGAAAAAGGCCCCAAATACTACTTCAGTTTACTGAAGCTGTTACTAAAAGTACAGCTCAGACCTTCTGTCTCCCTCTCATTTCTATTAAAATCTGAACTGAAAGAATCTGTTTCATTATGTGATCCTGTGTGTTCATTTACATGGGAATGAAGGGGTCTTCATTCACAAGCAGGGTCAATAGTTAGACAGAAAAGGCTGGGAGAGTGATAGCCTGGGGTTTAAATTAAGTTTTTTACACTTCTAAACTACAAGTTATTTATGAGGAATAATAAGAAATGTGACTAGCGTAAGTTTGAAGAAAGGAGGGACAGGGTCATGACATAATTATAATCCTGCAGTTTTTTCTACAGTGTTTTCTTGTGAGGTTCAATGGCCTTCAAGAGAAATAGATACTCCTACAGATTTATCATTAAGGCTGCACCATCTTAATTACAATGCTCTTAAATGCTAGTGTTTGACTCTGCAGAAAGTGTTGTGGTTTAAAATAAAAAATGAAGGAAAAAAGAACAAGTAGGGAACATCTAAGAAAATCCCTTTATTAGTGATATCAGCATGTGCAGTGAGAAGCTTTGTGATGATTTAGTGGCTGTAAATGTCTGCTGAGCACACACACTTTACCCCAGACTGTAACAATAGGAGAAATACACTCCCAGTACATTAGACAGTAACTACTGTGGAACGATATGGACTTCTGTTTGTAGACATAAAACTTTCTTCTTGCTCCTTCTACTGTGTTGGCAGGAATTTTCACCAGAAATACGAAGTCATCTAAATTAGGTGTCCAGCCAAACAATATATTCCAATTACCCAAGAGAAAAAGTGGACAAAAGAATGAAGAAATACCAAACATGTGGTATTCTGAATAGAACAGCCTAAAAATAAAATTACTAGAAAATACCTAGTATTTGCTATACTAGGAAAGGGTATTGTAATTCTAGGAGTAAGATGAAGAACAGCATAAATTGCTTAGACTAACAAACCAAGCTAAGTCAGTAGTAAAATTTCATGATTGAGAGAGAATCTGGGGCCTGATGCCACAAAACTACAGTTAAAACAGGGTTTTCCCAACTACCATAAAGTAACTATTATTTTTTTATTAGTAGAGCGTCATAATGAAGTCCTCTATGTTACAGTGTCTCAGGGTGGGTGATAGAGTGTTCAAGAGAGAATTTTCTGCATTCATATTCTACCAAAACATCTGCATAGTTGCTTCCAGTAGCTTTGTGGCAGAGGCATCTTTATTTAGGGGCCTTTTCTACTGTTGCACCAAGGAAGAATATCCAAAGTAAAGCTGTGAAGTGTGTAGTGAAAAGCAGCTCAGTTGCAGAAAGAAAGGAAACAACAAAACCCATAAACTACACAACAGCTCCTTCAAGTCGTATTACTTCCCTTGTCTGATCTCCAGCCATTGCTGCCTTCCCTCTTTTTGCTGTCTTACTCACTCTCCCCAATTTTAGGTGAAATATGGGGAATTCAAGTGGGAAAAGAAAAAAATACATCACAGTCTATCTGAAATTCCCAGAAAATGCCAGTACTGTACATACATGCACACAGGTATATTATTTTGCTTTCTTTTTCTCCAGTCATTCTTTCAGTCAGGCCCTTGACACCAATTCACAGGTCATACACAGAAAGCTACTGGATTTGGTTTTTTCATGATTACTAATCCTTACCCCCAGGAAAAACCACTGCAGGTATGAGACAGCTGAAGTTACCAAAACAATAAAACAACTGCATTCTTGTGGTGTGCTGTCTTTTTTATTTCGTTCAGTTACTCACAGATTCACAAAATTCAGCAGTTGGTAGTGGGTCACCAAGTCATTCATTAGTGCAAATTCATTAACTGTGACATTTAGCCCTGCTTGTCTTTTAGGCAAGTGACACACACACTCTGGTGCCTGGCCTTTGACCTTCTTGGTTTGTTTTCTTAAATTTCCTCCATTCTGACCAGCATAAGTGATAATTTACGTGGATTTGCACTTCAAATGAATTTAGTGCTATATAAAAATGGTTTTGCAAAAGATATTTGGTGGTGTATGAAAAACCCTCTAAGTGGTGGAAATTTCTGAAGCTCTCACAGAAAAGTTAATGTAAGACAGCAGTCTGTTTGGGCCCGCTGCACCACTGCTGTGACCAGAGCTCTGTACAGCTACAGCTCCAGGGTAAGCTGTGCATATTGAATACAAAGCCTTGAGACAATCCAATATGTAGAAAAATAAACTTTTGGCAGAATTCAGCTGCTGCATTGGAAAGATACATGAACAGATATAGCTGGTTTTTTCTGCATGTACACTTTTAACAGTGCAATATGATATGTTAACACCAGTGTGTTGAATCATATTCTAAAATCATGTGTGTACAAAATTCTGTGTAATTTAAATGTAATGGAATTTACAGGTAATATTTAAAGCATATTACAAATGGTGATTTAAAACACATTTTTACTCTATAATAAGGAAGCACAGTTTGCCTAAAGTAGCATTTAATATAATTCACATGAATAAGGTGTTAAATTTTAGTACTTTTTTAAACATGTCTTTGCAGCTCAGCAAATATATGCCAATAAAATGCCAATAAAACTAATTTTAAAATGTTTTTATATTATTGTGCACTTAGGACAAACTTGATCTACATAAAAGGATGACAGGTTTTAGATGTACTTTATTCAAATACATCTAAATTTCAGTTAATTTTAGAGAAATGAGAGTATTTAATACTAAATAATATTTTTATCTGTGCAAAGCTTAAGTAACTTTCATTTTATTTGAGTTTACTAAATCCAGTATCTGAAACTGAACAAGAACATCGAAGCAGCAAAATTCACATTTCCTTTTGTATACCCTTATAGCTCAGTTAACATTAACATAACTCTACAAAGTTATAAAAAGGACATCACAGATTGGAAAGGGAAACCAAACAAAACAAAACCAAATTTAAAAAAAAAAAGCCTGCAAGACACCAGACCAAGAAGAGAATGGGTAGTATTTTCTCTTTTATTATTTTTTCTTTGAAGATTACCTAACATCCTCGTGGTAATAACCCAAGGTACTATGTAAACAAATTTCAATGCTGCTCAAATGAATTAAAATACTCTGTTCAGCTCCTGCAGTAAGTCAGAAGAGTGGCACCAATTCCTTTCAACATTAAATCACATTCATCTCATTGTACATGACTCTTGTGCAAGTAGTAAAGGCTTTATTCATGACCTTGGCTACATCAGTAGAGAGGGATATATCAGCTATTTATGTATTTAAAAAATTAAACTGACAGAAAAACAGATTCTGTCGTCTCAAATACCAGCAGCATCTTTCTACATATTTAGGATACATTTGGCCTAAGCCTTTAACACCTTTTAGAACAGCCATGCAGTGAAACAAACTTAGAGATGTTTCTTTAGAGAACACTGAGCAGTTTAAACATTTTTCTGAATGATAAAGCCAAGATAAAGCAAATCCAGGCCCTTTTAAATGGCTGCAACTTTTCATACACTTAAAGCTCTATAAAACTAGAGCCCATTAGTATATATATTTATATTTTTATATATATATATTTAAATAAGTCTCTTGTCTGCTTTCAAAATTTATGGAGGGGTTTTTCTGGTCTTTTGAAAGGGCAATAAATAAAAGTAGAAAAGGCTGAACTGTTTTGCATATATTTGTGGAAGAACAGAGAACAATTAAACTTTTAGAGTTCCAGAAAGATCACTGTACAGAACAAAAAGCTTATATACAATAAGGTGTGCAATTTTAGTTGGCTGGGCCTTTTATTATTCAAGATATCCTTTTTGACTAGAAGTCACTTCTACTCTTGTCCAAATCCCTCTGTTTCTTCAATGGCAAAGAGCAACTTCTCTTTTAGTTGTTCATAGCTTTTATATGGTGGCAAATCCAAACGATTAAAACTGAGCAGGAAAAAAACAGAATTTTGTTAAGTTTACTTAAATCCCATGCAGAACTCTACAGAACTCAATTGTTATAGTGGAAGTTATAAATGTTCTGATCTAACAATTAGAAAAAAATGAATAACAATCAGCACAAACTCATTGCCTTGGCATTTCTACAAGAAAGAAAAAGTCAAAGTTTCAGAGCAATATTTTAAGAAACAAAAGACTATTACCAGATGAAAAACCAGAATGGTGAAAGACTGTCCAAGATACAGGAAAATATACTACTTCAAAAAATATAAAAACATGACACTTGCAATAATAATTGACTATAATAGTAATACATAGAAAAGGAAATTTTCAGCATGAAATTTAATCCTAGTTTGATGCATCTCCAAATTTCAACAACAGCATGAAAAAGCTGAACTTTTCTCCTTCCTACACATGCTTGGATATAGGTGGGTGTTTTTTCCCTGTAAACTTTACCCTAAAAGACTTCTGCCAAAATATTTCATTCCGTGTCTTTCTCAAAATTATCCTAGACAAGATATGTTTAACTCTTGCAAACATCACTCAAAACAAAATCCAGTGGAGAAAATGTAAAATGAAGGATACCCTTGAGTAGTTTAAAAATATAATGAATATTATTGTCACAGGTTGCCAAAGGAAACTGTCCATTTTGCACAGTCTATATAAAAAACTGCACCAGTTCAGTATGTACAGGAATGCCAAGCCAATAATGGCCCATCTGAAGCCTGGTGGGAAAAAGTATCAGCATTCTTGGCTAAGCATCCTTTTGAAGGTTTTCTGTCATTTCTTTCATGCTACTTCTTCTTGTGACTATACATTTTATCTTCTATAATGTTACTTCATAATAACTCTACCTAACAACTATGTACCTACTACTAACATGACTTGTTTAGTTATTTAATATTCTCTAAAAGAATTAGGAAAGCACCTTTCAGTTCTACACAAGGATTTCTCATATTTTTGATAGATCTGACACTGACAAACTGTTGAGCACAGTTGCAAAATTGTAGAAGAGGGCAACTGGGAAAGTTTTCAATACTGGCATGTCAGGGCAATCAAATGAAACTGAAGATGGAGATAGAGAATTGATCCAAATTACATTTCATTTGATTTGGCCAATGCAAGCCTGGAAGAGATAAACTAGTAAAGGTACAGAAAGTTATCACATAACAACTCACCAAGTGTGACTTCTTGGTAACCAGGTTTCCTTACCAACTTTTTCAATGCAGAATTTCTGAGGACCATTACTTCCTAAAAAATAAGATTTTGAAAAGTGTAATCTGTTCCTTTTAAGTACCATACAGGATATATATGTGAACACTACACAACTCAGGCACAGCAGAGTTCATTAGTTACATGAACATGCTTCTCACAGAAACAAGCTAATTTCCAAATAGTTTATAAACATGTTCAAGGGATTTATGATATAAAAAGCCCTTCTAGATCCAAGGTGATGAACATGAAGTTCCTCTTATCTGTACACTTGCAACATGGTTCATTTGCAAATGAAACAGTGACAATATAAAACAGTTCCGGTCACCTTTTACTTACCCATAAGTTCAGCAAATCCACCCAGTGGTAATCTGCAAGTGCCAGTGACAAACTGCAGAAGTCGCATGCGAACCTCGTTGTCTGTTTCTTTTACAAACTAGGCACAGAAATTCAAATTAATTAATAAAAAGCTGGACAAAACCAAAAACCTCATGAGATGGTTGAAAAAGTATAATTCCATTAAAAAAACCACCACCTTGTTTAGCACCTACTTGCATTTCTTTACTTTAGCAAAATGGGGTGGACAGAAAAGAACAGTGATTTCAGATTATATGCACTGTAAGCCACTACAATGTGAAGGCTGGGAACAGCAAATAAGAAGAATCCTTTCCTATTATATTTTATACAATAAAATACAGGTCATGTCAATGTTTTGTATAAAGACTACTGTCATTGTTATTAAACACAGCACTGGTCTAGCCACAGAGTGGGTATTTCAAGACTAAGAAAATCTTGCATATAAATGTTGGTACTTAAACTTCTGGTTTAGATTCTTTCAGTACCAAGCATCTTAAAAAGATTTATCATCAGATCTTATGATATAAATAAGATAGGAAATAACTGATTTGCACCACTTTCCCAGAGAAACTTAGTCAAAAGCATCTCTAAAATGGTGGTTTTTCAAAAGGCAGGAAGACCCTAGGTCTGACTTCTCTTTAGGAAAATTTGTAGAATAGTGCCAGAATAGTATTTGAGGGTTTTCCTTAGCCAACTCCATTAAAATGTGAGTGAAGTTTAGCCAGTTAGTATGACAAATAATCGTAAGTACTAAGTGACATTTTTAGATCACTGAATCAGAATGGTTTGGGTTGAAATGGACCTTATAGATCATCCAGTTACAACCCCTCTGCCACAGCAGGCATACACTTTCCCCTAGACCAGGTTGCTCAGAGCTCCATGCAGCCTGGCCTTGAGCACCTCCAGGGATGGGGCATCCATAGCTTTGCTGGAAAATCTATTTCAGTGCGTCACCACCTTCACAGCAAAGAACTTCCTCCTAATAACTAACCTAAAGCTACTATCTCTTCGAATCCACTGCCCCTTGTCCTGTCACTACATCCTCTAGTAAAAAGTCACTCTCCTCCTTTCTTGTAGTCTCCCTTCAGGTACTGGAAAGTGAAGATGTTCAGGTGTACTACATATAATAATATTTAGTAAGTAGATCATTAAGAATAAAATAAACCTCACTGAATAATCAGTAAGGACAAGATACAGAAGAAAATATTCATAAGCCAGCGTCCAAATGTAATGTGTGAAACTGCCTGCCATTTCTCACCCTAAAGTATCCTCCCTAAAGACCAGTAATCCTCCTTTCCTTCTCTGAAAAGACAAAAGAAGGGAAACTGTAAGAATCTTCATTTGGACAGCCCTCCACTACACATACCATTCGTGTTACAGATCAAAACAAAACCTACAGAAGTCAGAAATGTAAGTGATTAACATACCTGCCAGAACCATATGATCTGCTTGCTATTCCTCGTGTAATGACGATAAACAGTGTTCCTCTGCCAGTCTGCTAAATCTACTTCTTGCATACCACAGAGCATAACCTAGAAAAGACAACGATTTATTTACATTAAACACAAAAATTAAAGTGTATTTTCTTATTTGTATGAGACATAGTAACAAAAATGAAAGTTTCTGTTCTGAAAAAAGGACTGGTAATTTTTAAAATTTTATTACACAATTAGATTTTCCTTTATCCTCAGTTTACAGTTATCCAAAATTGTGTATGTATATAAGTGGTCTGAAAGACTGAATACCAGAGACTTGGTATCTTCCAACTAATATCTCAGTAATAAAAGCTACTACCTTTTTCATAAGAGAAATTTTTATATTAATGAGTATATTGGCCTTTCCATTAAATCTTCACCTCATATTCCAAAATGATGATGATTAAATTGCTGCTACTACTAATAAAGATAAAACATACTGAAAAGTATAAGTCTGAAAATTGTTCATTACAAGAAGCTATGAAAGCTGAAAGTTCTAAAGGCAAAGCTTGCAACACTGAATAAGACTGAGCAAAGTCTTTTTTTTTTTAGAAAAAATTCCTCCCTTCTTAACTTAAGAAGGTTTCAGAAAACTGCTCATTAAATACAGGGAAAGTTGTCAAGTAACACAGGAATAAATGAGCACAGCACTACAGCGCCTTTTGTCCCTACTCCAGATGACAAACCCCAAGAGTAAACACAGGCCAGGCTGATTGTTAAGTCAACATGGAGCATGCAAGCAATCCCTGTTATCAGCCCTTGGGTTGTATACTGAGGATCTGCAAAGTTCCATTTCATGCCTTGTTGGTTCCTCCAAGCTTTAAATATAAGAAACCTAGAACCTGTCTTAGACATTTTATTTGATCCTAAGCAATCACTATGAACTACAATCAACTTCTGTCATCTGTTACACAGTAACTCTACCCATCTACCACAGAGGGAAAGTCTGTGACTCACAGGTTCATCAATGATCTCATATACTTTCACAGAAACTTTCAAAAATACATTTTAATGCTGAACATAAAAACACTGATTCAAGAACATTGATTCAATTTTTATCATGATTTAATTCCACTGCTCTTAATAAATTCTCCATGTTCCGGAAGCTATCAAATGCAGCATGGGCAGACGAGAGATTCAACCTGACCTATCCATTTAATCTCTCCATATACATTACCTTTGCAAAAGCTAAAAATGCTGAATAAAAACCCTCACCTCCAGTTCTTTTTCATCAAAATAATGTAGCCATTGTAGAGGAACTACTTCATTAAAACCATCAAGAAAAGCTTTGGTTTGTTCTCTAACTCCCCGAGAAAATCGCCACTCTGCCATTAGCCTGGGATAGAACAAAACCAAACACAAATTAAACATCAATTAGCATTCAACATGAAGAAGTTCAAACACATAGGAGTGTGTATGTGTTCCCATCAGGTAAGAATCCCTCAAGTTTCACTTCTTACACTGTTCAATTCCATTAACTATAAGTAACCTACTATACTATATTATCACAAATCTTCACATTTAGATAATGTAAAGTAGCAAGAGGTAACTTAAGATTACCATTCGAGTTAAAAATAAATATTGTTATTAACCCTAATTTATCTATATACTATAGAAACTATTTCTCTGAGAAACTGAAGACTGCTAATTTTAGTGGAAACTTTATATGCAGCACTGGACATACACTGTATCACAGAAAAGGGTCTGTGTGCATCTGCTTTTGAGATCACTGAATAGATCAGAAACAGAGGTTAAAAAAGGGCAGTGATAAAATTAGGCAATAAGCAAAAAAGAGTAGTAAAAAGAGTTTAAAAAACAGTTGAAATCACAGCATGTTACACCTTATTCTGAATTTCAGTTTCCACATTTGTAGCAAAGTTCTAAACAATTTTAGGATCGTCTGTCAAACAGACATCTTCCCTCTACCTGGATTTGTTACCTGAAGTTACTGAAAACAGGTTTGCTCATTTCAGTTTCACCTGTTCTCACTGTACATATAAGAGCATTCCAGGTTATCTCTCCACATGGTCTCCTTTTGTACCAAGCAGTTGTATATCAAGATAGCAACATGTACCAAGGTACTATTTCAATAACAGTCACAAAAATTATATAGTAACATGGGAAGAAAAAGTAAAACAAAACAAAACAAAACCAACAGAAACCAACATGTCAAAAAAGACTAAGGCAAAAGGAGAAACATGGAACATTTTTTTCAGCATTTACACCTTCCTACCTAATATAATCTTTGTTCTCCTTACCCAATATATTCTTCTTTGTTCTCCTCAGTTACCAAGATATTTGAACCTCCTGATTTCAGCTCATGTGAGGTTACTTTCCCTAAGAGCTCCATATCCACACAGAAGTACATTTCCAAGTTACACTCCTCAATATTATTATCCCTGGATGAAAAGAAAAAAATATTGCAATTAATTCTACATAAACAAAAACAAATCCATAAAATATCAAACACACACACAAGAAAATAAACTACAAACCTTATCCATATTAGGGAGTTGTAAAATTCAGTATCAATAGATTCCAGGTCTTTAATAGTAAGCTTTTTGCTCAGCATTCGTTTGTAGAAAGGCAGAGAAAACCCAGTGTCAATAAATTTCCCATGAAACAAAGCCTGTTGAACAGAAAAATATGTTAAGTTTTTATTGAACTACTGAATTATTAAAGTATTTCTGGACTTGAAGTCTTTTTTTTTCTTTCTCCTTCAAATAATGAAAAGCACCAAATAGCAGTAGCAGCTTTATAAAGCCATATTTATAAAGAGCAAAACATTAAATTAAATGGTAAGCAAAAAAATTGGATAAAATTTATCCAAGTATATGTTATTACAATTTAGAAATTCTTTGATTAAAAATAGGACTCCTCATAAAAGGACTTCATCCCTTCTTCCCTTAGTTATGTGAATAGGCATAATTGTCAAGTGTTACTTTATCCTACTTGATCAGAATATTTGATCCTACTTGAGTATTACTGCCATTTTTTACTACATACATACATCCAACAACATCATCATTTACAGAATGTTACTGCAGCTTGTAAGAAAGAGCTTTGGGAACACATTTTTATAGGTGAGTAACAGAACTGAGGAATTAGGTTCTCCACAAAACTGAAAAAAAAAAAACCCCAAACCCAACATGGTCACACTTGTCTCACCACACATGCACATAGGGTGTAAGCTGAATAATAACAGTACTGAAGCACAGCATTACACACACACACACACATACAGTGTTGTCTCTACACTGGCTCAGTGCATCTAAGAGCTCACAGAGCACAACCATAACCATGAAAACCCTTTCTTCCCCTTCGCTTTATCAAGTACACTTTCTCCACTTAAATAGCTCTTTTAAAAACACCATCCTAAACATAGGCCATATATGGCATTCATTGCTTCTCTTTCTTCTCAGCTGAAATTCTGAGAGCAGAAGAGCAAATTAACAGCCCATTTCCTCTAGAATCCATCTTTTTCCCCACCTAATTTCCCCTTTTAGGCTTAGTCTATTATGCATTTCCTTCTGCTTAAGGAGACCTTAAAGAAGTTCTCTTAAAGGCCTATATTTATTTGTTTGTTTGTGCATCTATTTACTTTGAAACTATTTAATTCTTATCATGGGAGTTTGAGCTGGCAGAAATTCCATGTCAAGTGCAGCACCTGGGCATATGATTTTCTGCTTTTGCAAAATTAAGCTCTTAAAATCACCTTATTTGAGGTGTATGATAATCTTACAGCAAAATATAAAAGTTGCCACAGCCAACTTCATTTAACATGTTTTTATTATGAAGCAAGATGTGTATTCTTTATGTTTAATCCTGTTTCAGTTGAAAACAACTGTGGCTACTTCAGTACTTAACACTAAAAAACTCACTACTATTTTAGAACTGCGAGAAGAACAGAAACTGCCACTTCATTTCCCAGTTGCATTATTACCTGAGCTATCTTAAGCCACTAGAGGGTATCTCAGGAAGCACTGCAGAAAGTTTCATCCAGTATAAACCATGAATACTCAAACCTTGCAACAAACCAGGCACCATTACATGGGTTTCTCTCTTGCCTCGCTTAGAGAATTTAAAATATAAACACATAAGTACTTCAGGAAATAGAAGTTTGTCTTTTAGTTACATTAATTACTTTAATTAAGTTCTCTACTATGATCTGCACTGTTATGAAATAGCTTTCCTAAAGTTAGCATTTCTTACAGACAGGATCAAAAATCACCAGCAAAGAAACACTGGCTCTAGCACCTAACTGGCTTTATCACACCTTCCTGCTGAGCGGCCCTCTAACTTGCTGAGGACTCTAAAACAAAGAAAAAATGTGTCAGCCTATTGAAAGTGTAAACCCAATGAGGTAAATTTTCATGACAGCACAACAATTGTGAACTCTGCCACAAAACGCTTGAATTCAGAGATGCTATTGTCATAGCTGAATATATTTCTTAAGAAGCATCTATAAGAAAAGCAGAACTAAGAAACCACCCAAACCTAATTTATTTTAAGTCTGAGAGTATTTTTTCATTTATGTTATGCTTGGCTTGTGTTTATTCTAATTTTGTACAAAAAACCTGAACAACATGAGGCAATATGAAAATGCTTTCTACTCTTTTTGGTTTCACTATTCACCAGGTTGAGGGATGTTGCTGAGGACTACCTGTAGACATGATGATTATGTGGAAAGATGACTGTATACTACATGGAGGGTAAGAAATGTGACAGAACAGGAGTCAATACAGAAGACCAACTCAGTGATACCGAAGAATGATACAACGTGCCTGATCAGCTTGTGGTTTAAGAGAAATTGGATGGCTGTGAATCAGCTCCCTGACAGCTTCTGCTCTCCTCAGTGTCTGACTTTTATATACATTTAAATTAAGGCCCAGTGTACTCTGCAAAACATTCTAACTCATTTTTTCAAATATCCTCAGGTATACCAGGTCCAACTGAGGAGCCTTTTTCACAAAATATTTAGTCCCATTTTTCAGAGCATAAGTATTCAGACAACCGTTTGCATGAAGTACACACATCCAATTGATGAAAATAAAATATCATATCAAATGTCATACTAACTTTGATAACTCTCCAAGGAAACATGAGTGTGCAAGACACTTAACTCTCTGGGAATTGGCTCAATAAACTTATATGTCTTAATCTTCCATTTCTATGAGATTAATATAACCTTTAATAACTATACAAACAAATACTGTTCAGAGTAAATGTATAGCTACAGCAAATACAAAACCTTAAAAATCTAACCTACCATGGCAATAAAGCGCCCAATGAAACAGAAATATGAAAGATGGTCAGGATTGATTGTTGATGCTGGATTTATCTGCAGGCAATAGTTGCTCTTGCCAGCATATTCAAATAGGCAGTACATAGGGTTCAGTACTTCATGGGAAAGCAAGAAAAACCATTCTCTAAGGAAAAAAAAACATGTATACACATAAAAACCATCAAATACAGATGTTTATCACCATTCCCATTAGGTAACCAGCAAAATGGTCAAAATATATGCAAACTTTGAAAAATAATATAAACAGTGTTGTATTAGAATCACAGAATAATATATGGTATTATATATTTCTTAAATATAGAAAATTAATTATTAGACCAAATAATGTTAGAAAATCATGGTTTCCAAAGTTTAGAAGTTATTAGAAGTTAAGATTTTCATCTTGAACACACCCTCACGGCACAGGTTTTAGCTGCCTATCAGTAACACTTTTTTCTTACACAGTCCTCGCCTCAACCAGTACACAGCATTTACCCTGGTCATCCCTACTTTACTCTCTACAACTCACATCTTTACTCAAAAAAATCACAGATTATTCCATGCTTATTATAAACAACTTAGATAAAACAAAACAAAACAAATTGAAACCTCAGCACACCTTATTTGCTTTTCCAGTCTGACAGCAAAAACACATACTGAGTTACTGTCGTTTAACAAATTACCATGCATTGGTTAAGCCTACACGACATGAAAGTGTAAAAGTATCTTTTTGCTGAGGTAAAATGAATACATGTTTTTCACCACCTTAATTTTTTTTCAACTCAGCTGATCTGAAATAATACCACAATCTGGTATTCAGCATTCAGACAGGTGATTTTGATAAGATTTCTTGTTTCTAATATTTGCATATAGTATTTGCAGAGACCTGAGAACAGTCATACATACTCAGGGGCTTTTTTATCAGGCAATAAATGTTTGGTACCAGGCCTAGGGGTAGCCCATAAAAACAGCTGAAAGTCTGTCCTATAATAACTGTAGGGACTGAATTCCATTCTGACTGCCTTTCAGCTGTCATAGTTAAAAGGCATCTCTTCTATCCTTGCATTTATTCAAGATCAAGGAACAGAAATGAGCTTTGCTGGCATGTTTCTCCTAACAGTGCCATGAAACTCAAGTCATGGATCATGAGTCACTATGATACACTTCCAACCCAAAGGCCAAGTAGAAAGAGTAAACAGAGAAAGGCAGCCAGGATCCAATAACCCTAACAGGGTTCCGTGTATCTTCCAGCAAACACGAGAATGTTGTACAGCATTCTAGGCAAGTTTCATACTGAGACAATTACATTAACTACACAGAGGCATCAAATTTAATAGACATTTAAATTAGAACAAGTCAGATAACAAGGGAGGAATAAACTAAATCAGCCATTAATAAGAAGTTGCAGAAGCAAGGAATTTTTCATACCAACAGCTAAAAACTTGCCACAGGACATAATGTCAGATTGGTCCTGCTACATGCAAGGTAAAAAATCTGACAGGAACACTGAGTTTAGTCTGCTGAGAGACAGCTGATTTATATTTCTATTAATGCTGTATTTCATTAGTCAGTACATGAACATTTATTTAGTGTCACTTAAGAACTCTCAGCTCAAGTTACAATGAGATCCTGGCTGGTTCTCAGTTTCACATTAAAAATCTTGGGTAAGACTTAAATAACTATGAAACTATACTGGTTATATATTTTTTATTTATTCATTCTCTACTTTATTTGATTAACACACTTCAGTTGAATTATTCTAACATCTTCTCTATGGAAAGATCTATGAACTGTTCTGGTTCCCATCCTAAACCTATGACCTTCACAATAGGGACCCCAACAAAACAAAACCCATGCAAAGCAAAAATTGAATTCCTTCCTGAAATCACTCCCCAAAAATCTATGTGATACTGTAATGAGAAGCAAAACACCACATACCCAAAAGAAGCTCAACCTTCAGAGGCAACCTTCCTTGCATATAAATACTATACATTTTCACTCAATTAAGTTTTAATTCAGGAAGCTACATAAAACCAGAACAAAACCAAACCAGAACATCTTCACATATCAAAAAAAAAAAAAAAACAAACCCAAAGCAACGTAACAAGATAAATTCCATCACCTATGACCTTTTCCTATTCTCTGGATATACAGTAGTACTGAATTTTTTTTCCAAGCAGGAACATTTCATTGAAGTAACTGGCAGCAGTAGTCAGTGGCTCTATTCTCAGTGATCGAGAAATGAAATCTCGTCTATGGTTTTCCTGTTATCAGATTTTTCCCCTCTGAGTTCCACTTCAGATTCTAGAAAAACCCATAGTCCAGCTGTTTCACATTGCAGGGGAGCCAACATAGTCTGTCAGTTGTTCCTTCATGCCTGCACTACTCTGCTTTTGTTTATTTCCTTTCTGTTCTTTTCAGCCCCAATCTGGTGTTCACTTGCCATTTTTCCAAATAAGCAGAACACTCTATTTTCCCACAGTTCCCACTCCTAGGAAAATTAAAGTGATAGAAAGTTTTTGAAATAACTCAGACAAAGCAATTAATTTCATTCCAATTTAAACACCACTCTTTGTCAAAGAATTGAAAAACTGAGAGCATAGTTTTACCAATGTGAAGTTATAACCTGTGACAATAGCCAGTGCTGCCATCTCCTTAATACATTTAGGGGGGACTAAAAGGTACCTAGGGTCAGACTGCAAGAGAAATCAAGGCTAGAGAGCTATTAAAAAACATAAAAACTATTTAAGAAAATTTCTTTTACCTTGCCAAGCCACCGTAATCCAATCCTTCTTCTCCTCTAAATATAACATATAATCTTCTCCTCAAATCATAGGGCTTTAATGCCATAATCTATTAAAAAATAAATTAATCTTATAAATTATGGATTGTTACCACATCATTCATTCAGATTTAATTTATGTTGATACAGAAATTGTATATATGTCAAATGTTACACAAATTTGAAAAGCAAGTAGACCATCTCATGGAACAAGCAATCAACGAACTACACACAATGAAATACCAACTTGGACTTAAAATCCCTTAGCAGCAGACTGCTAGCAAGTGGAAAGAATATCTGGAAAGTAATGCTTTATGGGTACCCTGTTCTTACATTCTTCCTAAGGCAGTCATTATTTAAGGAAAACAGGTGAAAAGGCACTTCATCTGATATATATGAATTTTGGTTTTAGGGAAATCACTTAAAATAAATAACTAAATCCAGACTAAGTTCAATATACTTTCATTTATAATATACTTTTTTAACTTATAGAGAATTCCTGCCTAGACGTCTTGTGGTGACAGCACCAAGAATTTTCATCACTCATTGGCTACAGACTGTAAGAGCTCAAGGGCTGTAAGCTTCAATTACACAGATTTAATCTTTGAAGGACAAAGCAGTTTTAACTGGAGATAAAAACATATAAGGTAAGGTATCTAAACACACACAGGAATCAGAAAAGCAAATCCAATGTGGCTGATGCCCCAGTAGTTAAGCTATGGAACTCCACCACAGGAGGCTGTAGATGCACAAAGTTCACAAGAGGAGCACAGACAAGCTCATAGAAGAGAAATCCCTTGAGGATTACTAAAATACCCAGAAACCCCTTCAAGCTCAAGAATAATTTGAATTGTATACAGCTGGAAAATGAAAGATCATATGGTAAAAGTATTATATACAATACTTCTTAGAGTCTTCCCTAAGATCCCCACTAGCTAATACCAGAGGAAGATTACTGGGCCTGAAGGACCATTAGTCTGAAATAGCTATGGCTGTTTTTGTTGCTCTGCTTTGTCTTGATAAACAAACACAATAATTTTTGCAGGCTTACTTGCTGGAAGGAATCCTCAAACAAAGTCTGTCTGGACACATTGATTTTCACATGACTTGGCAGTGCATTGGACTGTAATCATAAGGCAATAACATTAAAAGGTAGCACACACATTTGTAAAAGCTCAAATAATTTCAATAAATAAATAATTAATAAATCAGTACCTGACACAAGTAACGGAAATGAGCAAGTTTCCACCTAAAGCTACGCTCATAAGCAATCTGTGGCCCTTTATTTCTGTAAGGAAACACATTGGAGATATATTAACCATGCAGACATCAAATCAATGCTAAACAACAGTATGAAGATTTCAAAAATACACAAAAATTGTTATTGTAAGATATGATCAAAGATATGCCAGTCTTCCTTTTCACCATTCCTTGTCCTTTTTTATTTTTTTTTCAAGTCAATTTACCAAATTTGATAGAAAGATAAAAGATCAAGAGGGCATCAAAACCCTATGAAATGTGTAAAAACTACAAGTCACATAAAAGAGAGATATCGAATTTATCATCTTCACTGAGAAAAAGACTGCTAAGTTAGGCTTTATAAATTCAGCTGCTTCTGAAACTATGAAGGACATTCTAGTGCAACATTCTACAGGCTTGTTGTTATAATCACTATTTGACAGAAGTAAACCTTACCCATACAAAAGACATTAAGAAAGCCACTATAGGTTGGGTCAATACTTTTAATCAAAATATTTAAAAGAAGATTTGCATGTAAACTTTTTCAGAAGTATTTAGAACTACTCTGTTTAGACATTACTGTTGATAGAGTGTGTATCATTATAAGGAATACTCATAATTCCATTTGCTGTTACTATTAGTTATATTAGTTCATTACTCAAGTTAACCTCATTGCCCCTCTCTATTTATAAAATTATTACAATCTTGGTATTTCAAAAGCATATAAAAACTATTGAACATCAGAGCAGTACAGCAAAATATGTCATAAAGTCACAAACAAAAGTTTTAAATATATTAAACTTCTAATATAAAAACTTGTTCATAATTTAGTGTGCAATTCCAGCTAAAAGTGTAGATCATTTTATAGTATGAGAAAACTTCACTATTTAATTATAAAAAGGTAAAACATTCAAAGATATATTTAATTTCTCACTTACACAGAAGATTTCCCAGTACGAGGATCATTGAAGGTGGTGGTTCTCGTATTGTGATCAACAAAGTATCTGACACCTTCTCTGGTATATCTGATCTCCCAGCCCTCTGGAAGAGGGTCCTCATTTTGTAAACTGCAAAAGAAATTGCAAGCAGTGCTTTTTCCCCCATATCATGACGTAAAAGAATAAGGCAAGATCTTTTGAATCTGCACAGTCATTATACACACCTACCCTTGAGTTCGAGGATCCTCCCACTGTGTTGTCTTTGTGTTATGATTTACAAAATAAACCCTATCATTTGAATCCACTCTTCTTTCTAAGGGAAAAAAAGAAAAAAATCCACTATACAACAACTGCATTCCAAATTCCTGTAATTGCCACTTCCTGAAATCCACAGCTAATTAACTTACCCCAGCCTGGTGGTAAAGGCCCAAGTGGATCATTTTCTGCTGACAACATTGAAGCCTATTTAAAAACAAGAGGACTTTCAGTTAGGCCAAATATTATTCATATTATTTTCTCAGTGTGTTCTAAGGTTATCACTAGTCCTGAAGACTATTCATTCTGCAAAAAAAACCCCATCATGCCAAGTTTAATCTGGTTTTGCAAAGAAACCTAGATTATATAATAATAAGATAGGCTTTCCACACTTGTTTTCAGTGCAATGTACCCTCCCTTTCCCTTCCTACAGCAAACTTGAGTGCTCATACAAAGAGGTGCAGTTCACACAAGTTTTGAGGAAGCATGGATAAGCAGATAAGCACTAAGTTCTTGCTTAACAACACGTTTTATCATAATAAACATTTCCAAGCACAGTGATTACTGCCAGCATAGGGGGTTTTACTTCCTCCATACATGATAACTTCCCTGAATGTTTGGCTATTTTCAAACACTGTCTTTTTTTTTTTTAATGCAGCTGCATCCATATGCAGATGGATAAAATTATACCAACATACAGTAAGGTTAGAAGGGGGAAAAAAAGGGATTACATTATTATGTAAACACATGCTAAGCTCCTAATATACTGTAACCTTGCAGAAGTCCCCAAGTAGCTCCCAAAAATACAAAGCATGGAAAAAAACAAAAATAAAAGGCAGAAATCCCAGGATCCATGCTCTGATTTATAATTAAAAGCATCCAGCCCTAAAAATTTATGGACTCTAACTTTTAGTATGTGTGAGTGCAGAATGGAATTTTGCTGGGTGTGTTTTCCAAAGAGTGTCTTAGGAACTAATACTGCTTCATATAGCATTTGCAATACAAAAATATCAGGAGCAAATTCAGGCAAATACAGGAGCAAATTCAGGCAAAACAAATCTATGATATTTTTTCTCTGAAGGAGAAATAGATCAAGGATCAGAAGGAAATGCATTAGTTACACTCAAAATCAAGCTGTGTAGTTGCCCCAGCCACCAGCTACTACACGTGAACAGAGAATTTATTCATTATTTCAGCAGCAAATGCAGTTAGTCTTTTCTGCTTTAGGAGACCACACAATCACAATAATCCTCTAACCAAAGACTTCTCTGTGGTGACTGTAAAAGAATAGTGCATGAAAGGAAAAAGCTGTCTGCCAAGGAACTGAATGTTGGCACAGTTCAGATATTTCCGACCTTCTTAATGGGTCCGAGGATTTGTGTATGGCTGCTGGCTACACAGAGCTGTATATTTAACAGAACACAGTGAAAGACCAGGCAGATTCACTTCCAAAATGACTACAATAAATTAATCCAGGTAAAAATGAAAGTAATTCAAATAACCATATCCCATCTACTTTTCTGTCTTTACATAGTTTAGCTTTGACCACTCAAGGTAATCAAAACATTCTTTAACTGAAAGTATTAATCTACTTTTTCCCAAAAATAAAAGACAGTCTCACTCAAATTGCTACATAGGAAGAGTCCTGGTATGTCACCAGAGGATGAAAAAGTAGCTATAGTTTGACCTTAACTATTCTAGGAAAAAAGTATACAGAAGCACACTAAAGTAAAAAAAAAAAAAAAATAAACAAAGAAAAACTCCACTCTTTCTTCAAAAAAAATTCAATTTTCCCCCTCAATAAACTGTGAGTTCTATCTGTGCAACAGATAAAACAGTTAGAAAACAGAATTCTAAAGAGATGCAAGGAGTCAAGTTTTCTTTTCCTTTAGGTATATTCTGTCTCACTAACAAATCCTCATTTATTGATTCTAAGGTCAGATGAGACATTTTAAGGAATGGGTCTGTGGTTTCCAGTAAGGGTTATCCTTTAAGGAAGGAAGCAATATAATTTAATTTTAAAAATATATTGTTCACTGAAGGATAAATCTAGTAAAAAAAAAAATCTTGGCATCAGAAAAGTGAGAGTTTTTTCAGATGTATTATGCAACTGATCAAAGTAATACACAAGTACAAAAAGTTGGCCAAGCAAGAGTTTTTGGTTCTATGTGCTTCAGCTGTGATTCTTGATTTTGCATTAGAGGTTACCAGTGTTTAAAAACCTGAAGGAGGGTGCAAAAAGAATGGAACCAAGCTTCTCTCGCTGGTTCACAGTAGCAAGACCAGAGACAATACACTGGAACACAGGAGGCTCCCTCAAAACATCAGGAAGCACTTTCTACTGGGAAGGTGACCAAGTGCTGGCACAGGTTTCCCAGAGGGGTTGTGGAGTCTCCATCCTTGGAGACATTTACAAGACATTAGTCCTGGATGGCTCGCGCTAGGTGGCCTTTCCTAAGGAGGGACATTGGACCAAATAACCTTAAGAGGTCCCTTCTAGCCTTGACCATTCTACTTTTCTCTGATCACATAAAACAAATTGAATTTGATACACAGCCCTGGGAAAGTTCAGAAAATTAGTGGTGATGCATGTTTCTGCTATTGCTAGTGACAAGATATAATGTCCAATTCAATAATGCGAGGCTGAGAATTTTTTAATGTAGTACTGCAGCATCCTCTACTTCAGAGGGGAGTATGAATAAAGCCCATCAAATTTAAACTTAGATCTGCGCATGCAAGGGTCCTATTCCAATGAAGCTGTTTTAGACTTGTACTTCAAAAGTTTCATCTTTAAAACACTCCAGCTTTTCTGCATATCACTTACAAAGTTTCTGGGATCAGATCATTTTTTTAAGAAGCCAAACACAATTCCTGAAGTGTTTAGAGTGACAGTGACACACAGGCACCATCATTCTTAACTCTGAAGAAACAACTATTCTACTTATCCAGTAACAGATGGAAAAATCTGACCTGAAAAATATTCTCTATGAAGCTACTCATATTTTCTTCAGGCAGAAGTTAGCAACCATGTGAGAGAAATGGAAAACCATGTAGGAAATTCCAGAGTTGAACCAGATGTATAACCTTCAAAGTAAAAGAACTGCCACTTGTATTAGTGAAGGAACTCTAATCACCTAAACAGTTTTTAAGGCTATTTAATGCTCAAAATGACCAATAACAGCATTTACATTCCTTTTCAGTGTAAGGGACAGTTTTAGTTGTACCTCTTACTATTGGCATTAATAATGTTACATAAAATGCAGCACACAAAGCTGATGTCAGGAAACAAACTCAGAAGGGAGTACGTTCTGCCCGAAAGTACTTTCTGATTTTCATCCAATAAAAGGATGATTTCTAACTTTTTTCAAAATAATCAGAATCTAAATTACCAATGCTAAATGTCATTTAACCCATATGGTTGAATAGTTACAAAATCCCTTTCTTTAAAGTTAAATAACAAAAAGTATACCAATACTTCTGTACTAATTTGAAATGCTGTATACTTTACCGAATAGAGGTATCGTTGGTTGAATTGTTGCATAGCTCCCTGCAGTTGATTCCGTTGCGACTGCCATTGCTCAAAGTTCCTCACTGACTCCATTGTTGGTCGCTGCCACGTTGTCGTTCTGGTGTTGTGGTCCACATAGTAAACTCTCCCACGATCATCAACTCTCCTTTCCCAGCTTTCAAGAAAAACAAATGTTAACAGTTAATTCTTTCAGTAGTGTTAGCAACCAATTTTCTCTTTGCCAAATGCCAAATTCCTAAGTGGTACTTAAATTAACTACTGGAGTCACAGGCATGATTTCATGTTCTAAAGGGCACCAAAGTACCTCAACTTAATTGGCAGATGAACAACCACAATGAGCATACACAGACTACAAGCAATTGCCTGCTCAGCTCTCTGCCACCTCATTCTTAACTTTGTAAACACCTCTGACTGCAAGTAATGTTGGCAGACTTCACTAAGAACACTTTGCTGGGAAATCTGAGGTTTGGAACCAGTGCAGTACACTTAGTGGTGCCCACCTAAATGAAGGTGATCAAATACTCATTATTTCATGCTTAAGTTTTAAAGGAAGAACAAAATACTTTAGTAGCTGTATTTGAGCAAGTGATCAAACCTAGTGACATATCCAATATCAACATTCCTGTAACAGCTGCAATTTTATACAATTAAATGAAAGCTAGAATCTCTTAATATATGATACAGAATTCAGTTTTGATGAGCTGCTCTTTGTTTCCAGCAACAAACACACAAACAAAAATATAGTAAGTTTATCATATTTAATTCAAAAGTATACATTACCCAGGAGGTAAGGGCTGTGGTCTTTCCCATGTTGTAGTTCGTGTGTTGTGATCAACATAATAGGTTCTACCATGAGGATCCTTTCTTTGCTCCCACCTTCAAGACAAAGAGACTTGCACATAAGTGAAGATGCAAATACATCCTTGGGACTTCCCACTAAGACAATAAATTACCTTGGGACTGAGTAAAAATACCATGGTCCAAAACCCATTCTCGAACACCAAAGAAAATTCATAACAGAATACAGATCAGTTATTTCCTATTTAACTGATATCACCGTAAAGACTTTAAAGGATTTAGCACATAATGAGCATACATCAATATTCACAAGCATTTTTCTATTATATTTAAGTTTGGAACAAAGTCAGTTAATTATCTGCTCAATGCTTGGATGCTAAAAAAGCCTCATTCCAAAAGAGCTTAGAGAGATGCATTCTTTGCATTTCCAAGTTCATGTCTCTCAAAAATGAAAGTGTTTAATTTTGAAGCTCTGTTCCCAATATCCAACAAACAGCATCTTTCAGAGTGAACCTGAAGTGTGTGCTATCAGCTCTTTTACCTGTGTTTCTATTTCCTATCCTGGTAAATTCTGCATCTGATCCCAAGGGATTATTTGGTTTTGTGAAACAATCTTACGCTGAAGATGGAGCTAGGCCAGCAGCTGAAGTTTCATAATGCTGAGAACTACCACAATGCAATAAAAGTGTGTATAAATGGCATGGAAACCAGGAGAAACATTAGATGGAAAGGTGAAGTGCTTGTCCACAGTTGATATATATTAATTTTTCTTACATAAACACTTAATTAGTTCCTGAAAATGTAAGCAGAACACCTGGCCTGCAACTACTAAAGACTACTAAAGCAATTTCTAACAATCTAGTAAAATTAAAATATTCCAGCTCTTCTTAGCACATACCTACATACACATCAAATATTATTTATAACATTTTTGAACTCATTCTTACACAGCAAGCACCTACAAACATTTATAGACTAGTCATTTTCACTTCTTTGTGCTTTGGTCCCTACTACTGAGAAACTAAGGAATAATTAATTATGGCCCAAATAAGTTTGAAAATATCAAATGAAAAGCCTTCACGTCTGTTACACCCAAGAGTTTGTCTGTTAAGTTCACAATACCATCTCAGCAAAGCAGTTATCAGTTATTACTTTCTGGGACAAGACTAGCCAGTTATAGCAGCAGTACAAATCCCATTTTAGATCAAATAACCCCATCTCAGTCAGTTGACCTGTATTTGAAAACCCCTTTATAGAATTAAGTTTCTTCTTCTTTATATGCACATTTAGATGACACAAAATGATAGCATTAAAGCAAAACAACATACCCAGGTGGCAAAGGTTCTGTACTGGCACTACCAGGCTGCTGTCTCACAGGTTCTGCAGACGCACTTGGCGTGGAGGAGGATTCCCTCGGCTTTGCCGCATCTGCTGCTGCGCTGCTCCGAGCACTAGGCTGAGCACACTCTGGGGCAGCTGCAGCTTCTACTCCAGCAGACACAACAGGTAATGCAGAAGTGTGGCTTTCAGAACAACTAGTTGCTTCTGTTGCTGACTGAGGTTCTGCTGTATCATTAGTGCAATCTGCTGAAGACACAGGAGCTTCATCTGAACCCGTCGGAGCCTCGGAGATAGAAGAACTGCCAGCTTCAGGTGCAGAGGCAGATGACTCGCCATTAACTGAGGAATGGGAAATAACATTTGTGTATCAGAATCTGATGAGATTTACTTTTCAAATAACCAACTTCCAGAGTAAATTTTTACATTTTGGAAGCCATTCTCTGTACTTCCATTTACATAGGGATATATATGAAGTTATTTATTAGTTTCTCCATGTCTTGGTCAACTCAATGTTGCACCTCAGTCTAGATTAGCAAGAGGCACCCATCTGCTTTCCACAAAACTGTACAGCCTTTTTTAAAATTCTGAATTTATAGTGAAGTTCAAAAAAGAATCTTAATCAGTATGACATGAAAACAAGTATTATGAGATTACTCTATGAGATTTGGAAAACTAAGAGGCATTTCCTACAGATAATTTCTTTTTTTTTTTTCAGAGCTGACGTACCAAACCCTACAATTAACCCTGTACCTGTGCAACTTGGAAAAAAAATCCCCCTCCAAAAGAGGGATTAAAATATAAAAACTATTATTGTCTAACACAACTTACATAGTTCAATGACTGAAGAAAATTACTTTAGAATTACAAAGTAAATCAATTCTATCTTTTATAGAACAATAAATATGCCATCAAACTGAATCAAGCACAATCTCGTAAAAGGTTTAAAGAAGGCATGGATTAACAGACAAAGGATGCTAAGAAAGCTTTATTAGTCCCAAGCCCACTTGGCAAACAATACACCAATCATCTGCAGAGCTTAACTGAACAGTCTCTCAGCACATCCAGATCTTGTCTAACTCAGACAAGTGACATCAGGTACAGCAGTCTGCAGGACATCCATTAAAAGTCAAGGCCGCATAAAAAGCAGCATCACATCATTCAGCACTTTCATTTTCTGAACCACTAATCAGCATCAAACAGTGACAATTCTTAGTAGCTTGTCCCTGTTTTAGAGTTGCAACAATTTTCTAAGGACTAAGGATATGCAACACATGCTTCAAGCAATTTTTTTACCTTACAGTATATTATCACCTTACCCCTCTAAGGGCTGAAACTAATTTAATTCTATACCCTTAACCTTACTGGTACACATTTGCAAAATTTAATCCTACATTAGTGCCTATAAAATGTTGTTCCATTATTTTAAAGAGTTCACTTGTTTAATTCTGTCATCAGAATCTAAATTAGCAAGTCAGTTTCCTTAAAGAATTATCACTACACCATATGAATTTTCTTGATATGCGTAAGCATAAGCATGAACATCATTTTACAGGCAACAGATTTTTAAGTTCTGTAAAGGCACTACTTTTTGAACAAAACTTTTCCAGGGTAACACACACTGCTTCCAGATGGCACAAAAGAAATTAACTACATAATATATCAAGATATTATATTGTTTCAGCATAACATGAAAACTATGAGCAATTTGATCACGTTTCGTCAAATTTCTGCTTATACTAGCAACATCTCAATTTACACAAGAAAAAAGCCAACTGAAATTTCAACTTCCATTTAAAAAATTCAACTCATCCACATTAAAGAATGAAGAGGATCACATAACAAAGTTAGAAGCAAAATAATGAACAAATCATCTGCTCTATTAGTAAGTTCATCTCCAAAAGAGATGTATAAAACATTACATCAGATGATTACTTCACCAATTATGCCTAATACAGCAATTTTGGCAACATCACATAAAATTACAATCCTGCTAAAGCACAACAGTGCAGAATAAAGTGTCATCAAAAATGCCAGAGATATTGCCTTGCCTTAAAAACATCTTCATCCACTGGTAGAGTAGTTGATTACTCCTATATCAATGCCTCAGTGCAAGGTCAGTGATGATTTCATCAATATTACCACTTGAACAAATCAATTATTTTTCAATTACCCTATTCTAATACAGATTTCAAATGGCTCTCTCTGCTGTTGAAGAAAAAGGGAGCAATGTCTTAATAATATATATGCCCTCTAGCCTTGAGCTGAAAAGAGAGGGGAATCAAATAAAGTTCTCCAAATAGAGAAAAGCTTCAGAGAAGACCTAATTTAATTATAACTTTTTAAGGTCCAGAATTCTTTCTGTTATCTTCCAAATATACCAGTCTATTACAGAGAGTTTGACAATCTCTGTTCTGCCACTTAGTAACAACTTGCCTATTTCTATTTACGGTTTTCTTTTCTCTCTGCTATCACTGTAATCTCTCCCAAAGAGCTGAGAAAAGACAAAGGGCTTACAAAGCACAGCCAGTATTAGACACCAGAGGAACAAAAATCAAAAAACTAGTTTCACTGAAGCAAAAGTGAACTGTAGTCAGAACCAATGTTTTGGTGTTTAAGAGGGAAACAAAATTCAGTATTTGCCACTAGCTGTTTTTAAATGGAATTTATGAAAAAAAATTGAAGGCACAGAAAGTCTGCAACACATCTCAACTCAGAGCACAGTAGTTTCCTGCCTAAATCAGATTTATGTAATGTCAGGAAAAATTTAACCATAGTTACTCAAATTCATTGTGAAAGAAACCTGATTTTTCCTCCAGACAAACAGTAATATGGTTTCAGAGAAACCAGGACAGAAAAATGAAAGATTTTGGACACTGATCTTCCTTCATCAGAGAAAAGAACGTATGATAAAGTGTGAAACTCCATATATTTAAGAATGGGTCTACTGCAAAAAAATTTACAGAAGTGGACACACAAAATTATAAATTCAAGCCACATCCTTTCAGTACTTTTGAATTCCAACAAAAAGTTTCTACAAAAAGTAGCTCAGCTTGAGATACAACTAGACAAAAAGCCTCATGGAACACATTCTCATAACTCTCTCTTACCAGTGCTGTCGACAGGCTGAGCTTCAAGTGGTTTTGGTACTGGTGTATTTTTGGGTCTGGCTGCAACATGATTAGGAGATGGTGTGCTGTCTCCATTAACAGCTTCCACACTGAACGTATTCTGTATTGCAGAGCTGGAAGGTACTTGATTGTCTATCCCATTAGAAATGTCACAAGCAGATCTTGGTAAAAATAAAAGATGATTTCAGGTTACTATAAGCAACATGTTAAATGGTTACACAACTAAACTAAATGCTACACTAAACCATGCTATAGAAACAAATAAAGAAATGGTGGTAAATTCACAACTGTTTACATTGTAATGTTTGCAGCCCAGATAATTATTTTGGTTTCACACTTGACTATCAAGAAAAAAGCAAGAATCGATTTTGAGGATTTCAGATACTTGTAACAGGTAAGAGTTTCCATTTTTACTTTCTCTTTTACTTTTAATGACATATCAGAATTTAATTGAACAGACTGATGCACCTGCTGCATCTTCCAAAACGGCCTTAGGGACCCTTCCAAAGTGCAGCTATGAGCAGGAAAGCCTTTTCTCTCATTAACAAAGAGGAAGAACTGGTTTTGTTAGCAATATCACTAAAAATACTCATAACATAAGAAAGCAACAAAATTCTCCCTCAGTAAAAGGAAAATAAGATGAGCTTCTCTTGACATTGGCAGGATGGGACATTGTGAGAACAACTACACATAGGCAGCTCTGTGTTTGCAAGGCCACGTGGAGAAATGTATTTTAAGGGCTTGTGAATGGCAAGTTTTGTTCAGTTACAGTGGTACATTGATTTTTCACTTAAATCTCTTTCAGAATGCTTAAAGCCATCCACTAGAGACACATGTTTTGAAAATTACACTCAATGCCAACTACTTATCACCTCAAGGAGTAGAGGTTAAATAGTGAAATTATTTACTATTTTATCTCACAAAAAAATTCAGAACATTAGAAGTCCAACTTTGTGGAGTAAGAAGGGAAGAAGCAGCATTTCCATGCTACCTTACCTAACTTCAAAGGATCAGTATAAACAGACTGATCAGCTCTGGACTACAAACTCAATTTACCTCCAAAAGACATGGAGAGAAGCTACCTTAAATCTTTTCTTCATCTCTTAATTTTAAAACTGTAAATCAACACAGCTGGATAGTTGTGTAGAAAACTGCAGTAAGTTAAAATAGCAACACCAAAAGCAGGATCCCAGTGAGAGAGATTATCTCCAGCAACAATAGCTGAATGAAAACAAATGATTGTTACTACTGCTTCAAAATGGTATGCAGATGGATTTCAAATCACTTTTAGCAGTCCCAATTTTTTCTAAGGAAAAAGAAAAAAGCAGAAGCACTGTTTTATTCTTACTCAATCATCTTGAGCATCCATTGGGGAAGAGAGACAAATATCCACAAATTCAAAAAAAGAATCAAGTCAAGCATAGAAGGACAGATGTGTCCCTGTCACTCAAATGCATAGCAACTGGATGTTTTTTCACTCCAGTTGGTGTCAATAACTTAAACAGAAATGGGTTCACACAAGGTAACTGAGCAGACCAGTAACATTAAATTGATCTGAATTGACCTATTTGTCTTACTAGAGATGAGGGGACAAAAAAATCTATTCCTACTTCTCTCCAGCCAGCCCTTGAGCTGGTTAGAATGGTAGAGAAACCAAGAATTAAGCTCTTAATTAGTCTGAATATCTTTTTCTTGCCACTTCAGGAGGAAACAGGCCTTGGCCTCAGTGTTACAAATACTGCTTGTGAAACTCAATACAAGTCTCTTAAGTTCCTGATTATGACCTTAAAAAGGCTGAGGAGGAAGTAATTTAGGCTTTTTTTTTCCTCTTCCTTCCGTTCAGGTGCTACATTGCAAAAAGCTGCTAGACATTAGTAGAAATGGTTCTTAAGCAGCAAAAGAAAATAAATTGAGTAAGTATGTAAAAATACACTGAGCCACTGCTCCCCTAATTTCTGCAGCAGCATTTTTATAGATTTCCAAATGAACTAAACTATGTAACTGTCACACAAATTAGGTTTCTAAAACCTGTGGCAACATAATTTAGACTTCAAATGCTAAAATCTCTTCTCTTCAAAACCATTAAAAAAAACAACAAAAAACCCACCAGAACACAAACAACCCAAACATTTCAACTGATAAATTTGCTGATACACTTCATATCACATAACACACAAAAATAAATTCCAACCTGGATGAACTTCTTGCTGAAGCATCTCTGTTTTCATGTACAGCCTCGCCATTTTGCTGAACTTCTACTGAACAGTAAGAAACAAATTCAACAGAAATATTCTATTATATCAGCTTGAAATCTTAATCTAAATATTATCATCTGACTTAATTATTTTAACTTACTGGTTGCTGATGAACTGAGATTTGTAAGAGATTCTTGTTCAACAACCAAACCATCTAGCACAACAGTCAGTTCACCTGTTTGCACCATGCCACTCTTGTTTTCCAAAGAGAGTTTCAATTGTTCTTTCACCTTCTCCACTAAAAATGGAGTTGGGGTGGGTAGGGGACAAGAAGGAAAGAAGGGATAGAAGAAAAATTAAATTCTAAATAATATTAAAAGAGATCTTCAACACACAGATGTGATACATGCATTTAGATCTATAAAACTGAACATCAGAGATCTTCAAATCAAAGCAGAAATCATTATGGAGGTGTATATATTTACAGCTGCTGTGTGTACATGCACACTTTATTTTTAAAAAGAACTGTCTGTTTACATTGTATATTCTATAGGTACGCTAAAGAATCCATGTGGATTCAGTACTTTGTTGTTAATGATTTCCCAGGTCTGCCATTTCCATTAAGCCCTTTGGAAATTATGCACTACTTACATAACATGTGATGGCTTAAAGTCAAACAACTTCTGAACCACACAAAGAAATATTAAAAAGTCACTGGGAACCCTTCATTTTACAACCAGAGCCTATATTCATTTCTCTTAGCACCTTCCAAAACTAATTCTAAAAGATCACTGAAAAAACCATCTCTTTGAGGAAGATGAAAATGCAAAGACTGCACAGTGTCCTCCCTCAATTTTAAAACTATTTTTAATGAATCCTTATTAGCATTTTCATAGATTGCAACTCCAAGGATTAAACAGTAAGAGAGGACGCCTCAGGTAACCAAAAGTTAAATCAGATATTATTTTCACTGAAAGAAAATTTGAGATAACTGATGGGGCAGTAAAATAATTCAATCTGACTGACAAGCAACACACACATTTGTAGAGAGACATATATAATCCAGAGGTAAAACATGCTGAGGATGCTACATAATTCTCTCTAAATCAACTGCTACAAGTACAACAGTTAAAGCTACATGTCATAAATCCAAACACGGTCAGTTAGGAGCTCACATTAATCAGGTTAAAATGGTTAAGACCTCTCAGTATTTGTGCTCTCAGATTAAAAGATTAGTTTTTAAAGACATGCCATCATATTTCCCTCCATATCATAGCATTCCAAGTTAAATTTAAACTAGGCACTTCTATGCATTAAACTAGAATTTCCATTTTTTTTTCATTCTTAGCATGCATCATAAGTGAACAATAAACATGAAAACAGGGGAGGCTGCCATAACCTACTGCCAGATAGGCCTACTGCCAAGCTATTACCTGAAAGAGCAGGTTTGACAGTGTAGTTGGGCAGCAGTTACCAGCAGACACACACTGCTGTGCCACAATGGATTTCAAGGGACTTCACCCCTCTGCAGCAAGCACAAAGCTCCTGAATCTACAGGATTACTGATTTAGCAATACACATTTTGGAAAAAAGTACTATCTCAAAGAAGAGAAGAAACTAACCTATCACTGAATTGTTTAATTAACACATTTTTTAAGTTTTGCAAAAGGTGGTTGGTTTAACTTCTGCTGTTTAATAGGTTATCTTCCTAAACCAGATCAGCTGTTGGCTGTAGCTTAATTGAGCTGGCAAGAAAACTGTGAGGTGTGTGGGCAGCAATTTAATAGTTGTGGTGTTTAGCAGAAAAAGGAACCAAATTAATTCTAATGTTTCTGCATATAGAGGACTTCCCGTTCCATTTTCATCAGCAAAGAACCTTTCAAGCGCTGCATTTTAGAATAGGTATCAATAACTAAATGAATTAAGGTTACCAGTCGGATTATTCTACCAGTGAATGCTTAGATAACCCAGTAAGCATCTAACTACTGACTTGCTCAAATAAGAAACATTGCACATAAATTACTTTTGTTGCAATGAAAAGCAAACTCAGTCAACCATTCCCTGAAAGAATTTGTCAAGCTGTTAGATCCTACCTCCTCAGGATCTACAGTAATAAAATGTTAAATATTTTGTTAGAAATTTGTTAGAAATTTTGTTAGAAATTTGTAGAAAGTATTTAGAAATATTTTTTGTGGCTAACATTATTATAACCCAATTTATTCTGATACAGTTTTCTTAAGTAAAAGAAAATTTTCAGCCTATGAAATTTACTGCTGAATTGTTATAATACAGTTGAAGAAGACCCACTCAATATTAGATTCTATTTCAATTTTCTGTAAGAATCAGAAAAATTTAGCTTTTTTATTTTTTTTTCTCCTTTATCCCCACTGTTCAAAACATTCACTTCAGGTTTATATATAGATAACTTGTGAGAAAGGCTAAGATTGGTTTAGCTTTTAGCTGGAATTCTACTGCCACTCTGGAGTGGAATTTAAAGTGTGGATTCACCATCTTGTTGTACTAAAGAAAAAAAAATTTGAATAGCAAATCAGATATATTCTATTAAAAATATTTAGAAAATAATAGAAGTTACATGGAACAATCAATTTCTAATGTACTACAAGGAAGATCACAATTGTTTCATTAATCAATGTTTTCTATTGCTCTGTGGGCAGCTAAATTATGAGGGACAAATATCCAGTGTTTCTATTAGTGACTCCAGAGAAAAAAAAACTTGAAAAATTACACAGCTTTTCTGAAAGATTTTTTTAGTTACCAAAATTTTTTTTTTTTTTTGGTTACCAAATCTAAAACAGATCTTCTATCAAACTGGTTACTAGCTTGCTACAAAACATTGAATTTCTGCTTTTAGTTTCTTCTTTTACTTCCAGCAACTAATACTCTACTGTTTGTTTCAACAGTATTACACCCCAGTGTTACATTTAAAATGCTCTCAATAGCACAGACATCTCTAGAAGAGACAAGTAAAGATATCAACTGAGACTCAGTTGTAATTACATGTATAATTAGTAGTCTGGTTGCAGGTTTGATATATAGATTAGTAGTAATAATTTTACTTTATTCAAAATACCCTTCATGATAACTTACATTTTCTATTGTGTACTTCCAAAGCTTGTCTCAAGTCTACAGTGGCTCTTCCTAATAAAGCATCTGCTTTTAAAGTGTGATGGCTCCACACTCTAAATTCCAGCGTAGTCTGTGGAGTCACATGCCTGCATAAAAAATAAATTTTAAAAATATATATACAGATTTTTAAGAATTAAGTCTTGTTATTAGGAGTATTTGAACTTTATTCACTTTCTCATTGTATTTTTTGATACTAATGAAGTGCAGTTTTGTATTGCAAGGGGAAATTTTTAACTAAGAACTGCAAACACTGTCATATCTACACTTAGGATGAAACTTAAAAGTACATTACTATGATAGCCTAAGGAATTTGTGAAGCATCAGAATAACCTACACTCAGCTCAAATCTCAGCTATATAAAACAAATCTTGATTTATGAAAGGCTTATTTCCCCTCTTCCTCCAGTATTCCAGCTAAAAACTTGCATTATAAAATGTGGAGAAAAAGGTGGGAAGTATATTTGCCTGTCACTGGAAAGAATAATACTAAGTATTTTTCTAAAAGGAAAAAACCAACCAAGCATCTATTTTCAAGCAAGAGCCCACTCAACAGGTATCAGCCTGCCATGGAAGTGTTGATAAACATTTTTTGTGAATCCACAAATATATATAAAACTATAAGGCATACTCACAGAAATCAGAGAGGAAAATTCAAATGATGAAGCTAAAGTAAAAAGTGGAGGGAAGCAGAAGGTAAAGGACCCAATTGCAGTAATCTATGACAAGCTTTGGCATTGATCTCTCCCCTGCTCAAGCTATGCTAGGTCCTGGGGAGTAAGTTTTGTAATACAGGGTCTAGTACTGCAAAGGTGATCCTGGCTGTGCAAAATAGGAGTAGAAGCACTTCATTGCAAAAAGTCAAAGGCCACAAATCCATAAGTATTGACCTAACATATACAAAAAGTTGTATCAGCAATGATGAGAATAATAATAAAAACAAGCCCCACTCTCCCAACAACAGAACTAATTCTACAGTCATTTGAACATGTTGGACAAGCCGGATATTTTTTGCTGAAACACAAGCAAATATATTTTTGCATTTTGAATAGGCTGCCTTCTAAGGGAGGTCTTACCAAAAGAGCAGCTCAACAAAGTAAAGGAAAAAATCTCCAACACCTACACACAAAAACATATAGCTCACTCATAGAAGTGAGGGGAATTTGGTAAGCCAGAGAGGTCACTTCACCTCAAATTACATTTGGCTATTGCCAGAGGAAGAGGGGGCCAGAATACCTTAAAAATACATATAAGAGTAAGACCCTGAGTAAGCAATACTCATGAAATGAGTCTGCCATTACTATGCATTGCAATTTACCTAATTTCTATCAGATCACCAAATCCTGCCAAAGCAAACCTGCCTCCTCAAGAGAAACTCAGCTCCCTGTGAGTATACTGATAGCTCTGTAATTGTTCTAGTTCTTGATCCCAGAAATCATCCTCAGGTCCAAGACGATGCTATTCTCTTTTGCAACACTGCAAAGGGCTAATAAGTTCACTAAACTTAAATACCAAGAATGAGGCACAGGAAAACCTACTTGCTTCTGAGCAGGTCTGGAGTAAGTGTTCCCAAGCAAAGAGTTCCTCAAAGATGTACCACTCCTCACTCTCCAGCACTTACTGGAATCTAGCATGGCTCCTACTGCTAACAAAGCTGGCTATTGCACACAGACATGTCAGATGCTGTGAAATGTACTGGCCCAGGCTCAACACCACTTGATAGGAGCTATGGTGTTCCCAGACCCAACTCTGAACCAATATAATCTTGCTTGTGAATAAAGCATTCTAACCAAGAGCAAGACCACCAGCTCTTCATGGAGTTCTATTCAGGTATACCAACATCCCTAGCATAGCTAAACCAAACTAAACCACAAAAAGATTAAAACAGTTAAATATCAGGGAAAGGTGTGAGGTAATGGCAGTTTTTGTGTGCACATCCCTTCACTGGGAAATTCAAAGGAAGAAGTGTGCTTCCTCATAACTACTACTTATCCAGTTAAGACTTTACCTTCTAATGTTGAGAATGACATGGTTACAATTAGTAAGTCTTTCTAGCAATGTATGCTGAACACAGTGCTGACAAATATCAAGACTATATCATGTAGTGCCACTGTATGCAAGTAATACATTCAGGAAAAAAAATATTCTCAAAACATTGTAAGGATTCAGAAAAAAAATAATTTGAGATAAATACCAACTTACGTCTGCATTTAAACATCAACAGCCAGAGCACACTATGTAGGCAGCCAAGCTTAGTAAATATTTGCCTGCAATGTCTGTCTAATAAATAGTATCAAACAACCAAAAAATCTACTTACACTGTCAGCTGCTCATCCCATTTGGGATTTGAAGAACTACTTGATTTTGCTGTTTTCTTAATTTCTCCATCTGCGGTTAATTCCGTGTAGAAAGTTGTTCCAAACCAATTCTTTTTCCGTTTCAGTTTGGCACTAGAAACTAATAAAATACATTGCTTTATCTCTAACAGCATACTGTTGTTGAAAAACAGAAAATGTCCTGCCTACACACTGTATGAAATACTTTGCAAGGCAATATTTTTCTTCACCTACAACACTTCTACTGAACAGAAAGAAGTCAATGCAAAAATTACCATTTTATTTTATTAGTAGCTTTTATTTTCAAAAGCTACTTTGTCAGATAGTTGAAACCAAGTGTCACATACTCTTTTCACCACACACTGGCAGGACTGGTTGTACAGACAGCACAGTGTTTATTTTAGGGATAAACACTGGAAATAACATAGGTTATTTTCTCATTGTTCTCCCTATTCTTCCCTTAACTGAAAAATGCCTAAGTATATCTGATGATGCATCTGAGGGATAATGAGACAGAGTATTTTTTAGTTATATTTTGTTATGAAAGTTGATGCAGTTTACGCCTATTTCAAAATGTCCCTGTATAGGAAAGCCTGTATACAGAGCTTCATTTCTTTGCCTGTATTACTGCATGGTTGAACTTCTGGGTTTACACATCAGTTGGTAACAATTAAGAAAGCTACTCTTAGCTTTCCTCTATTTAAACAGCTTTGCAGATGAACTCAAAGGTTTCAAGTAAATATTCAAAAATTAAGAAACACCACTGACCAAAGAAGCTACTTTCCCGTCCAAATCAGTGGTCAGTTCCTCTGTGCTCCTCAACATAAATCCTCTTCCATGCCCAGTTGAGGAAGTCACTATAAAAACCAACAGCAGCCCAACTGCCAAGATTTTAAATTCTATTTCAGATAGATGGTGTCTTGAAAAGACCACAAGAATGGACTCTCAACTATATTTACCTGCTGGCTCTGCCTTCTCTCTTAATTCCTCCCTTGCTTCAGTGTGGTTCTTGTTTACTCCACTTGCAAACTAAAACAAGGCTGAGTATCTTCAGCCATTTGAAAATAATTCTTCCCCGTTCCTTTCCTTTATGGTACTTGCTAACTCAATGTGGAATTTTACTGAACTGAAAGGGAGACGTATTTCTGAATTGCAGTATTCTGAGACATAAACATTAGTCATTTAAAAGTTAGTGGGATGCAACCATCCAAGGTTCTAAAGGAATTAGCCATGGACTTTTACTCGTTTCAAATAAAAGGTGCAAACTTAACTTCCTCACATTTGAAAAGCCCAGCCTTAGTAATGCATCATGGGTTATAAAAGGCTTTCACCCAGCTGATGAAAGCTGGATTGTAGTAAACTAAAACTCCAATTCCACACACAAGTCATATTTTTTCATCTCAAATCATGATGTTTTTAAGCTTTGACAACCTCTACTTCTTCCACATTTTCCTCCACAATTTACTTTCCAAAGGAAAATACAACATTTATTAAAACACAGTTATTTAATAATGATATTCAAGCTTCCTCCTAATTTCCCCTTTTTTTGTCTGATTACATGTTGTTAGTAATTTTTGAGTCCCAAAACATAAAAGGAGACTATGATCATCTTTTGGTTAGGACATCTTCTTAAAAAAACTATGAATAAGTAATAATACCAGCAATACCTCCAAAAGAACAAGACAAGATCTCACCAAGAATATTTGAACAAATACTGATGGCAAAGCATGCCTACAACATGCTGTATCTGTCCAAACTCAAACAAGTCACCACTCCATACAAATTCTTTGTCTGCAAAATGAGTCTATGATACTTGCTGCCTTTATAAAAGTGCTTTTTAAGTATAGTTCTTGAAATAATTATAGCTTCTACAGTAGCATAAACAAAACTGCACATAATTATGCAGTGTAGGTCAGCAATACTACAGTCCCACACTGCTCTGCCTCCTACTACTCAGAATGCCACTGGCATTCATTCCTGTGATCCTGCAATAAAGACTAGGTTTACAGAACTAAACCTTCAGAAAACTAACCACAAATATTGTAAAGACTTCTTCCCATTTGAGACCTGACCCAGATTTCTTGGAGTCAAAAGCAGTCCCAGTACCAGAAAAATACAAGACTATATACATAAGGAGGAGCTCAGCACAGGAAAAAAAATTACCATTTCTGTAGACACAGATGTGAAATTAAGGGTCATTTGTCTAAGGCAGTTTACAGTTACATATATACATTCAATCTACAGGCAGCTCCATCTCTGCTATTAGTCATTGCCAGTTTTGATGATTCATCACATTATTGAGTGATGTGCTCTTTACATAAGGTTAATAATTTTTGAGGCTCCTCTCTTATCTAATTTCATAAAATATCCATTTGGGGGACTCTTCAACTCTTGCTCAGATAACCTGGCTGGCCATCTTTGGATCATCTAGCAAGATGCACCTTTCTTTAGATGCAGCCTTTATTAACACGTGGTATCTTACTCATGTTTTTCCCAAATTTTTTTCAGGATAGCTTTAATATATTCCTATTTTTACTTCCATTATTACTTCAGCATTCCCAGATTTCTCAAAATCCCTGGAAAGCTCAAGTTAGTTATCAATGGTAAAATAATACTTATACACATAAATACACACATATATATTTATGGTAGGTGTATTTATGTACAGTATCTTACCTATGTGCTGGTAACATTTTTACTTTTAACTGTGGTAACACTGTCACTATTAGCTATTGCTTATTTAGATGTACTTTGCTTATCTTCAGACTACCAGGAAGCCTCAGTCCTGTTCTGCCATCCCACAGACAGAGTAGCTCAGACTGACAACAATTGTCACATCATTGACCAGTCCTTGTCCATCAGTAGCAAAATGCATACTTGGTCTGTTCAACAACTATTGAAAAAGTGTCCCCAGCACAATCAGAAAGTTCCAGGACTGTTTTCCAGAAATTCCCATGGATACTGGGATGGCTTATTTCTGCCTCTAACTATAAACACCAGCAGAGCAAAAGGAAAAAAGAGACTTCACAGCAAATTGTAACTGGATCAAAGGAAAAACATTCAAATTGACATGGCTTATCACAAGTAAAGCTGGTAATCTACAGACTATGAGATACTGAAAATTCAACTGCACAATATAATGAGCAACCTGATCCAACTTCAAAGGTAGCCCTGCCTTCATCAGAAGAGTGGACTAGGGAATCACCAAAGGTCCTTTCCAACCCAGAGTTATTACATAGGTCTGTTAAGTCCAACCAGTGGCCCTAAGGATATTATATTCAACAAATATTTACCTGATATTTAATGAAAGAACTTAATCTTCTGAAGGGCTAGCAAATTTTGTGATCTCCTCCAGTTCTCCACCTTCATTAAAACACTGTACCTATTTTCAGCTTGGGATTCACTACAACCACTGACCTTTTTCCTAGAATTTCAGTAATCTGCGTTCCCTCTTCAGAATACATGTCATTAACCACTTGTTCCCAAGTCAAATTTCTTGCAATTGTCTGTACTGTTGTACAAAATACCTTTTTTTTTATTTTGAAGATTTATTAAACTCTATCATGCAACTCACTGTATAATCTCTATTTAGGCTCAAATCATCTACATATATTATAGCCACATTATTAACTGTAACATTCATATCATTAATTAAGATATTAACTAGCTCATTTTTACACTCACTTCCAGGATTGCTTTTGTAGAATACATCTGTTTTCCTGTAAAAATCTCTATGACACAAATCACTACTTGCCTGTTACTTGCATCTGTAATCTTCCATTACAGTTGTGACTTGTATCAGATCTTGGTGAGGCTGTGGCCATGTCAGAGGTTTAGGCTTCAGCCTAAAAAAAGCAAACAAGATAGCTTATTAAAAAGTACTTATCTCTGCATGTCAGCTACAGCTATTAAATAAAAATAAAATGTTCAACTAATCAAGAAGTTACCAAGTATTATTTAGGTACAGCAGAACACATTATTTCATAACAGCAGCTAAAAAAAGCAATCACTTTGGAAATTTGTCCCACGTTACACCTCTAAGGATGCCAAGACACTTCAGAAACATATATATTTACATAGCTTAGAACAACTGTGTAAGGCTAGAATAGAAATTCAGCTGTGATATATCAATAATTCTCTCTCTAGAAGACATACTTATGGTCTGATTTCAGATAGGCTGAGCATCAACAATTTCAAATGAACAAACGTTTGAAATGTTTACATGCTCGAAAATCATGCTGTCACCAGAACAATACACTCAGTAATGAAAGCAATTCAGACAAACGTTTGCATTCTATCCCTAGATTTGCCACCAGCTTCCTGCCCCACTGCAAATCACTGTGGGTGATTTGTCCACCCACAAATCACTTCCCTCATCTATTGAGACAGGAAGCGCTTCACAAGGACACCCAGCTCACCACTCAGCAACCAAAACTGAGTGTGTCAGATCCCAGCTGGGGCATCCCAGCACATACCCATGCCAACAGCATCACTCCTGTCCTCCTGAGCTACTACACCTGAAACACATCCAGGAGTAAAACATTCTGTTTCCATCAGAAAACTACTTTCCACAAGAAAAGAATATATACGTGTAAAATAGATTTTCCCTGATCTGGATGAACTTCCACATATTTGCTTTGGTGAATACAACTGGTTTCAATTAACAATATGGGAAGAGCTGTCACCAAACCTTTTTGATCATGCACTTCTATAAGTATGAAAATTTTTAGTACATACCCCCAGTACGTGTGTAGTTAGTTCTAAATTAAATATATGTACCACTTTACTAACACACTCTGTATATATTGCAATGTATAAAACCAGAAATTTAAAAGGATGAAATGAAGATGAAATAAACAGTATTTTTAAATATTTTAATGGTAAAAAACCCTTATGCTCTTACCAAAAAAAAGTGGGTTTTTTTTTGTAAGAGCCATGTGATTGAATATGCTTCAGCATTTTTTTAATGCTGACTTAGCACTTTGTAATACAGTGATTTGAAGGCCTAGTTTCAAATTCAGTTTATTGGCTGTCATAGCTGGAAAACACATTTTACAGAGATACGTACATCCAAATCAAAGTGCATCACGGGCTACACTTTCTAAATCATGACACTCATTTTGCAATTTCATCCACTAATTATGCAAAGGTTTTTCTTGAAATATGGCCATAAATTTCCATCTTTCCTGATATCAATCACTTGTTATTGTAAACCAATGGAAGGCACATTTTTATACTTCCATAAAAAAATTCAGATTCTGAAACTCTTAACTGGGAGGACTTTTAAGTAGATAAGGAAATTCTGCTTCCAAGTTTAAGTCTACAAATACAGAAGGTTTTACAGATGACACATCTTTTCTGGCAACAAAAATCACACTAGGAAACATTTCAAAACATCCATTTTCAAAATACTTTCTCAATAGCATCAGTTTATTTCAAAAAACAATAGGTTTCTCACTTGTTAAAATTCCATCTTGACCTTCAAGTGAGGTATCTTAACTGTCTTTATTTTTTATTTTTTAATAACTGATAGTCAGCATACTGCTGACTGTTATCACAAAACAGGTCAGGAAATTCGTAACACTTGTTTTTTCTGTGAGATAAAACATGTAATTAATCTTCAAGTTTTACAACTCTTCTAAGCACTTTGCCATGATAACTAGTGATCCTCTGCACAGCACACAAGATCTTCCTGGTCACACCCAGTGTCATTACAGATTATGTTAGATACTCAGCTATTTAAAGGTTTTGTTTTCATACAATGAACCACAATAATGACATCCTGCAGCACTTTGTGCACTTTTGGCTCCAACTTTCTTGTTGCTTGCCTATGCATGATGCAGTGAATGAATTCTGCAAGTCGTGCTCAACTTGTAACCTTAGCCAAGAACCTTTTTTACTTTGGTCAAATTAGCCACTCCATCTGTGGTTACTTTTGTACACTTTTTCCATTTAAAAAAAAATGTGGTTATTTAAGAAGACACTGTTTAGAATTTATGCTTAAGAATGCCTCTTGTCTGGTACATCTTTCCCTAATGACCTAGTTCTTTGTGAATTTCATTATGGACCCAGAATCTAGCAATCACCGTAAGTCGAGCCTCACCACAAACACCTATGCATTCATCCAAGTGTCAGTAGAGCAAGCCTCTCTCACTGTGTAATTTTTTCTGATATCTGTTTCTTCAGAACTTTGGCAATGTTTTCCAGACATCTTCCAACAGTATCTGCTGACAAAAGAATGTGTTTTAATTTTTCACCACATTGTTTACCATGTATTATTTCAGACATTTATAGTACCACAGAAAGAGGAAATGCCTCTGCAACAGAATCTGTGTCTTCTGCTACTGAGAAATCTCAAAAGAGGCTTCTAATGACCTATCACTAAGTTTAGTGAAATCTTGTAAAATCTTGGATTGAATTCATCATGACTTGAACATTGCTGAAAAAAAACCTGCAGATGCTTGTACGCTTGTCTTCATGTTTTGAGTGCTTAGTTTTTAAATGCCTTGCTAATTGTGATGGCTTCATATTATCATCAGCTGATACCTCAAGAAACAATGTCCATCATTTCCAATAGCGGATGTACATCCGTATTTGAAATACCATTCTTGATAAACCAAATTGTTTTGGCTGACCTCTTGTCACCTCTAATTGCCAATGGTTTTATCTCTTAATACACCTGACCAAGAGCTCACGCTAGAAGTAGAAGAAGCATCAGCTCTGCCACGTTCTTACTATTCATATTATTAGTATTATCTTCAATCTGTGGTCTCTTTGCAGGAATTTTTTTAAGCTACTTGCCTACTTTCTGAGGGTTTGCTTGTAAAAACTTTGTAAAAACTAAATATTATAATCCACAAATCCTCCTAACTGGGCCCAAGTAAACTGCCTCCATCACACTACGCTGGAAGTGAATGAACAAATGAAGGTGTTACTGTGACCCCATCATACTGTGCAATACCAAATCTGTCTTCGGGGCACCTCATGAACCAAACGTGACACAGACCATCCAACATACAGACCTACAGAGGGTGCCAGGATCAACATTAAATAAAGCTTATATTTTAACTGAAAAATAAGAAAGAAATTAACTCGTAGATTTTCTTCACACATTCCACTGGATGGTCATCTACACCTGATTTTGGAGGCCACTGATATGGAAAACATCATAAAAGCAACAAATTCAAACAACTCAAATAAACTCAAATTCTTCCCAAGGAACCAAGATCTGCAATCTAGTTCTAAACACACATTAAAAAACTAGTTTAGGCATACTTCTGTAATTGAAAAATTATGATTATTTCTTTCCTTCAACTGTTTAACCTATGTAGATGTAAAATGCTGGGGTGGGGGGTTGGTTTTCATTTGGTTGGTTGGATGAGTTTTGTTCTTTTTTTAACTTTACATCAAGGATGTGCAAAGCAAAATAAATACAGAAATAAATAAATAAATAATGTCAGAATTCTCAAGTAGACAGTTCATTGTATCATCTCCTCAAACTTCATGTGCTGATTGATCTGCAATACCACCTGCCCAAACCTGAGTTTCTGGCTCTGCAAGCTACTAAGCTGCTAACTGCATTTGGCAAACACGTTTGTCAATCTTCTGATAACAGGGAAGCAAGAACTCACTACACTTAGCTTTGCATCATTCCTCTTGAAAGAAAAAATGACCACGATACCTGGGAGAAATTATTGCACTGTGAGGGAGATCTCAATAGCTGATGGAGATGAAACAGAGTTAGGCTTGTGGTCGTCTGAGGGGCATGACTGCAACCCACAACAACAGCCCCCCAATGTTCTGCTCTGACCCTGCTGAATTAACATCCTTCTATAACAGAAATCTCTTTTATATTCTTGTCAATAAGGTACACTTAGATGCATTTACACCTAAGCAATGATTATAGTTCCACATTTTCGCTATGCTGTAAACGAAATACTGACATGCATGTCAAATACTATTTAGGAAAACACACTAAAATATAGGAAAGTTTTTTTAAAAGCATTTAAACTTTTAAAAATAAACATAGGTTTTTAACAACAATACATAAAGTTTTGTGTCATGGTTTATATTGAAAAGGGCTTTACTGAACAGAGCAAATTAGTTGAACTGACTGATTCTGTTTTCACCATGTTCCAAAGATTCTAACAGTTTCCATCAGGTTCCAAAAATTCTAACAGCTGCAGCCCACTCATCCTTTCCTAACTGATTAGAAATCAAGAACAGGTTGGGAACTAAGAGAAAGGAAACATTTAATTTATTTAAGCCTTCAGTCATCAGTTATTTTCATCACTAACTCAGTTACTGACATTTTTAAATTAACAGGTTATTGCCTAATCAGCTCAGATGAAGGTTGATTCTTTCAGGAGACAGCCTGCTCACATGACAATGTTTGTCATTTTCATTCAAGATCCAAAAAGCCACTCTAACGTTAATATTTAAAAACAACCAACCAGTCTTCACTGCCTGATGCACACTGGGTCATACTCACTTCAAGTCAAACATGTTTTTACTCCAGATAAACAAAGCCTTCAAGAAGAGAAGTCAGCCAAATTAGATTGTACAAGATGAACTATTTTATCTAGAGCTTTGAACGTCTGTTAGTCCCTAAAGGCTGGTCTGAACATATGACAAATGCTGCTGCACAATTAAAAAAGAGAAGCATAATCCAAAAAACTTGGCCCTTCAACCTTTGACAGAAAAATTGCTGGTGCAGACATGGCAGGGAGCAGAGGTGAGGTGAGACTGCAGACAAGAACTCTGTCACAGGAACCGTTTGCAGTGCTGACAAAAACAGTATTATTGACATTTGTAAGGTACTAGTATGGATTGTCATACGACATGA